AACTTCATTGATTACAAATGTCCTTATCTTCCTTCCTTTTCTGCTTCATGGACATTCCCAGCTTCACCATATTCTCGTGTACTCTGTTATCATCTGTGTCTGCACTGGAGAGCTACTGGTCCAGTCCCGGTAGATTACCCCAACTAGAGGGATGCATGGTTCCATAGGGGCCTGGTTTTTGATTAGGGAATTATATTTAACATATTCATTAAGGTATATTGTTCCAATCCCAGAAGCACTTTTACATTATTTAATACTGTGGTCATGGATAGTTCTGGTAACTCCAGGAATAGAACTGCCACCCCCTCACAGAAAATGGATTGTTTGACATTTTTTATTAACTCCAGCCTTTGTTCTGTGGAGATGACAGCCAGTTACCTACATTGGCATGACTGGTAGGAAAGTAGGTAGCAAGTGCAGCTGACAGCATCTTGAAAGTCTGCAATGCTAAATCAGCACCACTACCACGTGCCTTCTCAATGAGGACGGGATGTAGAGGTAAAGTCGTGACAGTATGTTCCAAGGTGTCCCAGTGGTTCTTCCAGATTGCTCTGCCAATGTTTCATCTCAGGTTATTAGTATTTATAAAAGCAGGTCCTTAAAATAGCTTTATGGTGTTAATAGAAGCAAAAATAGCAGCTCTTAACTCATTCATACTGGGGTAAAATAGGGCTAAATTGGGCAAGTACAGAAATCATAATAGCACAGCCCAGTTTAAGGGTGACTTTCAAATCTGCTTCAGGTCTTAAAAAGCACAGATTTTAAGCTAAAATCAGACCAGGACACATTCCTTCCTTATTCACAGAAAATGCTTCTCCCTTTAACAGACGTAAGATTTGGGGTGACTTTGGCTTAAAGGCTAAAATCTGTTCACTGAGTCTTCCACTCGCAAATGGAGCAACCACAGACTTCTCCAGCTTCTGAAAAACACATTATTTGGGAAAAATCATTCAGATTTGCAACTGACATTTATAAAACAGACCAGTGTATTCTATTGTTTTGAGTTGACTCTGGCTAGACAGCAGGTGCCCACCAAAGCCATCCTGACACTTCCCTTCTCAGCTGGACAGGAACAGGAGAGAAAATATAATGAAAGGCTCATGGGTGGAGATAAGAACAAGGAGAGATCACTTAACAATTACCATCAAGAGCCAAACACACTCCACTTGGGGAAATTGGTTTATCGCCAATCAAATCAGAATAGAGTAATGAGAAAATAAAACCTAAACCTTAAAACAACTTCCCACTATCCCTCCCTTCTTAACTTCATTCTCAATTTTCTCTGTCTCCTCCCCTCAAGTGGCACAGGCGGACAGCAATGGGGGCTGTGGTTAGTTCATCACACATTGTCTCTGCTGCTCCTTCCTACTCATGGGGAGGACTCCTCACACTCTTCCCCTGCTCCAGCATGGAGTCCCTCCCATGGGAGACAGTTCTCCATGAACTTCTCTGGCATGAGTCCTTCCCATTGCCTGCAGTTCTCCACAAACTGCTCCAATCTGGGTCCCTCCTATGGGGGGCAGTCTTCTAGGAACAGGCTTCTCCAGCATGGGTCAACCATGGGTTCACAAGTCCTGCCAGCAAACCTTCTCCAGCGTAGGCTACTCTCTCCACGGGTCCACAGTTCCTGCTAGGAACCGGCTCCATGCAGGCTCCCCATGGAGTCACAGGGCATCCTCCTGCTCCAGCATGCGGTCCTCCACAGGCTGAAGGAGCACAGCTGCCTAACCATGGTCTGCACCACAGGTTGTAGGGTATTCTCTGCTCCTGCTCCTGGAACACCTCCTCCCCTTCCTTCTCCACCAACCTGGGTGTCTGTAGAGTGGTTTCACTCACAGATTCCAAGTCTACCCTTCAGCTGCAGTTCCAGAGAGAACTCTCCTATAAAATATGGAGAGGAGAGCATGAGGGGGCATTGCATTTACTTTTCTTACCAAAGTATTTCTTAAATAGGCATAGCAGTCGGCATGAGTCTACTCTAGGTACAGTGGATCAATGACCACCTGTCACCAAAATTAATGAATTATTAGCTGTTCTTCTCTAGACAGTGGAATAATGTGTTGATAATATTTCACTGAGAACTCCACTTTTTTTTTTTTTCCAAATTGGCTATAGGTCTGTAGGTATCCTCTGTGATTATTTTCAGAAGAGCCACAGACAATATTTGAAGTAACATACTGCATGTTCTAGGACAAGACAAGGACACACAACAATATGTCCAAATTTGAACCTCACTTGACACCGGAGTCGGTCTCAATCACATCAGTGAAGTGTAAGGAAAGCTCTGGAGAAAGAAGAGGAAAATGAGTTACTTTATCATGCTGTGGCATAAAAAAAAGTTTTAAAATTTGATAATCTGAAATACTTTATCATCAGGGTTTTGAGACTGATATTTTTGCTGTAGTAAACTACTAATTTTCTGAAGTGACTATATGATATTCTTTTTAAATAGGCTGATTTCTTATTTTCAGTACTTACAAATTTCTTAGAACTGTTTTCCTTTCAAGAAAGGAAACAACACAGTAGCAGAATGGGGAGCTTTTCCCATTTTGTTTTCTTTTAAATTTGCAGTTGCTTTAGACAAACATGTTTGTCTGTTTTGCTGATTTCTGATTTGCCAATGCTAAAACAATATCCCATGTAAACTGCAGAGGCTGACAAATTAATTTTTGTGTTTTAATATCAGGCATATAAATCTTACCATTACTAATTATTTTTCGATCTTGCATATGAGAATAGGATTAGACTGACTAAAACTGACGCTGATTATCTGAGACAGGATGTTATTAAATCCCTTTGGGGAGCTTTTGAAAGATCCACAACATTTAGAGCAGAGAGCTTTTCTCTGTATTAGCTCATTTATGGAGCAATTACATGGGACTTACTACCAAAAAGATGTCGGAAAGAACACTGAAAAAACAGCTAAAGTGGAATTTACACTCCTCCCATCTCTGTCAGAACATCTCACAACCTCACAGCCTTAAAATATTTTGTCAAGGTTATCTATAGCAAAGCTATTTGCTATATATCAGTTAAAGGTATGAGATAGGTTATATTAACACTACATGGAGAAGAACTGGTAATGGATCTGAAGTCAGTAGATATTTATCCCTGTTCAAACAGCTTCTTTGCACCAAGAACCCAAATTTAATTAATTTTGCAGGCTTGAAAAATCTAATGTTTTCATTTAAGCCATCTCAGAATTTGCAAGTTTAGTTGTTTCACCAGAAGACTCCTATGGAGGTTTTCTCAGTGAAGTGCAGGAAAACACGCAAAATGCACTGATTTGAAAAATCTCCACTCATTCTGGAAAAATCTGTGACTGAATTCCCAGATTTTTTAATTTTTTTTCAAAATTAAGATTTCACAGATGACTTTTAGGAGAAGTTTACAATTTTGTACTGAAAAGTATGCAGATACAAAATGAAGAGCCAAGTAAAGACCATTTCAAAAACGCTGTTTCTACAATGGACTGTTTTCCTTACACCCATAGCTGAGAATGAAAATACATAGTGAAGTACTGCAATACTGCAGAACTGTGTGTATTAAATATGTACACACCTATTGATTATGAGATTTGCAGTTTGGGAACATCAGAAAAGCTGTGAGAGATGCATAATCCAAAGTAATAGTGACTTTTCGCTGAAGAACCAACAACATCGAGGTGTTAGAATCCAGAGATTTATTCTCAATTCCACTCTGATTTTAAAGCTGATATTGATGTAAATTCATGTGATGGCAACACTTAAAACTCGAGGCCTCACATTTTTTCTGTCTTCCCTGGGTGTCTTCACATACTTAATACAAGTCCATTACGAAAAAAGTTAAAAGGTACTTAAGTGATCCTTAAGAACAACTCAGTGGCACAACTAAAGTAACATGCAGGGTTATCCTTTCCAATAAACACTGCTCTTCTGCTCTCTGTAGCACAGTTATTGCTCCTGAAATGTGTCCTATATGTAAAGTTCTGTATGTGGACCAGAAGGTTCCTACTTTTCAGTACCCACTGGTAATTGATGGTGAATACTAGAAGATAGGATTTTCTGCATGTGTAGTGATCACTGACCAGAGGGAAAGCTTATGCAAAAATTCTGGTTCATAAATATGTATATACTTGAGTGAGGAAAAACTGATTTTTTTATTGAGTTTGTCCTTCCAGGCATGTTATGTGGCATTTCTGATATTGCAAAGGAATACAGCAATACAGTATGAGGTATTCTGTATGTCCAAACATTGTAGTCCTTACTCAGATTTTACTCAGGAAAAACTACCTTTCACTTCAGTAAGAATTTGCTTCACTAAGGATTGAACAGACTGTTTTGAATCTTACCAGCATTGCTTGACGCTAATATTGGACAACAGTTCTCATTGCTAATTTGCCTGCCTCACTGGCCTTCTCCTGGGCTCAGGATCTGCTTTTGCTGTGTGTTATTCATAGCTTCTATTGCTAGTTCAGATTGCCTCTCTTTGTGCTTTTCATTCCCAGCAAATATTTTGTAGCTATTGTTCTGCTGATGGTAGACGAGCATGGAACCTGGTATGCAGAACTTGAACCTCAGCCCAGATTCAATTAACACTGTTAAACATTTTCTCACTATGGTGCTCAGAAGGAATTTTGATGACCCTCTTTCAAGGAAGCATAAATTTGTTTAAGCTGATTTTTTACAATGCAAAAATATAAGAGCTTGATTCACAAATCTTAAGGCCAAATGCTTCTCCAGTAAAACAGATGGAGTAGCACTCATTTATAGCCATCATAAGGTCAATTGTAAATGCTTATTCTGACCTGCAGTAGTCATACAAGAAAGTTACTAAATGTGTGTGCTGTAGCATCACTTTGTTTTGTAGTTTTAATACTGCTTTAAAGTAAGATATCCTGAATAATAATTAGTACCAAATTATGCCATAGCCTACCAATATGCAGCAAATCTAGCTAGGTTATCACTCGTATGTCTTATGAGCCATACCTAGCCATGGTTTATCCTCTATTCATGCTACAGGGTACGAAATTCCTGGGTGCCAACCTGCCTATGGCAACCTAGAATTCTCCAGGGCAGGCTCGCAAAATCTTCACCTACTCTCTGGGACAGGTAACTAATAAGTGATGTTTTGTGAAGTTATGCTTTCTTTCTAACTTTCTGATGTCCATAAAAATGTTCCATTTCTTCATGTCAGTCTGTAGTCTCTCATTGTTCAGTTCCACTATGTTTTCTGAACTAGGGGATTAACAGCAGATCTGTTTACTATAGTACTCTAGATGCTTGCCTCATCCAAGCCTGTAATAATTGTAATAACTTGCATAATTGTAATAACTTGCATAAAAACTGAAAGTTGTTTAAGAAGCTGCAAAATCCACAGCTGCCTTCTACCAGTTAATCTTTTTTTCTGATGGAGTGGTTCTGACAATACTGATGCATTGCATTTTACTGTTGATACCACAGTTATCTGGGCAGCTCACCGAACTTTCTTAATTGCTGGTATGTATATATTCTCTCTCCTTTATCAGGTTTTCATTAATCTTAGGTCTCCTGAAGTAAGGATTTTCTCAATGCTATAGGTACAGAATGTTGAAAGGCTGGGGGAGCTATTACTGATTCTAGTTTACATTCCTATGCAGCATGTAATATAAGTTTAAGTAATGACTCATTTTTCCATATTTTGCTTAGATTCTCTTCTACTTTTCTCCTGAATATACTCTCTGTTCTTTTTTGCTTGACTTTATTTCAAGTGGCAGGTATGTCGAAGAAATGTCATTTACTGATCCTAAGGCTTTCAATGACATATGAAATATTGTAATATACGTCAAAGTAAGAAAGTAATTAGGTAAAAAAATAAAGACAGACTAAGTTTTAGATTGGTTCTTGCAGTCTATTGATTTTCTCTGAATAATGTGTGTGAATTTTCATCTTAAGAGTGCTGCTAGTGTAGGAAAGACATAAACGACATTCTTTGGTATTTTTTCACACAGTCTGTGAGTGAAAAAAATAGCAATCTTGGAAAAATGGTTTGAATTCCTCTTTTCAGTCCCCCAGGGTTCTGCACATGCTCTCTACTCTTACCTGGGTTTAGATGAGCCTGATGCAAAAATAGCTTTGCTCTGCTGCTTGTCCTGGCTAAAATCAAGAGATGACCAGTGAAGTGAAATATAATCCAGGCATATAAAACTCTTTTACAAAATGTTTGACCTGATTCCAACTTGATTGAATATTTGGAAGTCTTTTAATATCAGAACAAATTCACACAGCCACAGTGTAATCACTGAGTCTGATCTCACATGCTGTTTTTAAATGGATGCCCACAGCAAAGTTCAGTCTTGGAATGATGTTTAGTCATCTTTTTGTAGGGCTTACCAAAAAAATACCCTCATTTCCTACGCTTGTAGTTCTTACTTCCAAAATAAAAAACCTTACTCTTGTGGAGGACAATACCACAGTTTATCTCCAAGGATACTAAAGCCCAAAATGCACAAATCCAGGATTTTAGCTCAGGCTATTTAGCCATTTCATAAAAAAAAAGTAAAAATAAACAGCCATTGAAAGATAATTTTTATTTCCCTCCTTGCTTTCTAAAAAGCACAAAAGAGTCCAAATTTTTAGGGAAATTTTAGTATTTCCTGAAAGCTTGCTTCTTTCTTTCCTGTTGATTAAGTCAGACCTTAATCACATTGTTTCAACATATCTAGACTTTAAAAATTTATCTGGAAACTTGCTTTCCAATTATATTGAAAAATACCACCTTGCTGAAGGAACTAAAATATCCTCCAAACATTTGTTTATAGAAAGATAGTGAGTATGACAACTGTCAGCATTTACAAAATCAGGATAGGTTCTATTTTATGCTGCCTGGTGCACTTTAACCTTTAAAAAACTAATGAGAAAGCTGTTAACAGTATCAGCAAGAGAGTTAAAATAAAAACCCAAGTTTTGATTAACCCAGAATACTCAAGTAATTCAAATATAAGGGAAAAAAAAAGGTGGCCTGTGTTTAAGTAATCCACATCTCAAGGCACAAGAGTAATTTTTAGGAAAGTCTGGAGTAATGAAGCTGCTTCCTTACTCTTTGGGTAAGTGGTTCTTTAGGGTGCTACGCCCACAGAGTAGGTGGAACCAGAGGGCTCCTGGGTCCCCTCTGAAGAAGCATGTTGTGTACTGCTTCTCACAAGAATAGAGCAAACAGCTTTTCTGATGAATACCTGCTGCCTGATATGGTCCCTCCACATTTGCAGAGAGCACCTTCATTTACTGTCTGACTCCAAAACTACAGAAGAGCCAGTGTCAAGGTGTTGGACTGCTAACGAGAGTTCAGAGGAATGCAGTCCTGTTCCATGTCCTTTCCCATACACCCATAAAAAAAAAGGTGACAAAATGGATTCTTACACAGGAAAGCCAGTGCAGGTAGGAGAGCAGGATAAAACCTGAACTAATAAATTACAACATTTGCTTGGGAGAAAGGTTGTACGAAATGACGGCACAACGTGCTGAGCGGTGGGGAACTTGCTAGAGGTGAACTCATTTATACTCTTGCAGAGTAGAAGACTTTTCAGTTAACAAGTCCCAAAATAGTGTGCTGCAGTGTATAAAACAAGGTAGGGCTTGAAATAATTAGCCAGAGATGACAGATGGCAACTCCTTTCTCTTTTTTTTCCTTCTCTTCTGTTGCTGTAATATCAAGGTGATCAAAGAGCTGAGGATCATTTGTTATTGTAGGAAAACTAAAAATATCTTGAAATATTCAGGCAAAATAAGTTCATTCAGGTACCAGCAGTAGCTCTCACTGTTCCTGTTCAACACCTTATAGTAGTAAGTTTCCCTCAGATTCAGAATCACACGTGCACAGATGAGAATCTGGGTGTGCCCAGGCTTAGGAGTATTATAGAGTCAATTTATTAAATAAAATTATTAATTTATTTACTTTAATTGTTTGCTTGTGCTAACAAACCAGTGATCTATTCTAGTGCCCAAAAGCCTTCAGAAAAGCCCCCAGAGTTCACCTCTCTGCCACGTTCCTTGAATAATGTCGTACAACATTGTGTGAGGGGAACCAAATGATAAAGAACAGAGACTGTGGTAAAACTGACTGCATCAATAACTGTTAAAGGTGTCTGAAAGGTCGGTGCTGCATCTCACTCTAGGCAAGAACATTATTATTTCCTATGCTCTTTAGGAACAATATCTGGCAAGCATGGGCATTTTTTAAAGGCAAGCACTTGTGGACTCAAGTTAGAGATACAACAGAAGCTTCTATCTTGTAGGACTTCTGTCACAAAAGAGGATTAGAAGGCAACTGTGACCAGATGTAATTAAAATGAAAATTCAGTAATTTACTCAAATAACATAATATACACTGCTTATAAAGGAAAAAAAAAAGTAGCAACTACAGTTCCTCTCCCAGTCCAGTCCCAGTCCTAGTAGCAACTCTGTCTGACTGGTCCTAGAGCCCAAAAGTATATTTTATTTTTTCAACTGCTTAGTGTAGCTTTTCTGATGGAAGTGTTAAGCGAATGCACCAAAATGAGTCCCTTAAGCCAGACAAAGATGAATTTCAAATTAGAGGAAAGAGAAAAGGATTGGGAAAGGAAGGAAATAGTTAAGGTGAGAGCAGAGATTATAACCTCTGTCCATCAACCTGTGTCTGGATGCTTTATACCAAATGAAACAGGAACAAAACTCTTTTCCTTCTGCCAAAGCACATTTCTCTAGTATTCCCCTACTGCACTTCCAACCTCAGCCCTTTAATAGAAAGACTAAGATCAATTTCAGCTTGCTCCTGGGCAGTGGGCTTCACCCATACTCATTACATTCCCATTACAAATAAACAGCACAATTCGGGAGGAATGACATTTCTGCTCCAGCACAGCTTGATCCAGATGAATCAGGGAGGTAAACAGACAAAAACAAAAGTGAGAAAGGTTTAATAACACAATTAAAATATAACTTTATAAGCTTGTGAGCTGATGCGGTAGGCTGCTTTCAGTAATTTCCAGAGGGAGTGCTTATCCATGACTACAAACCAAAGCAATCTAGAAGCTGGCCTCTCAAAGCTGTAAGGAGCGATACTGCAACCAAAGGCAGCTTGCTCGATCACCTGGAGAGCTCTCTTTGGCTTCTAAATCATAAATTGAAGTCTACCTCTAATTTTGTTCCCTCAATTTCTCGATACCTCACTCTTTATTTTTTTTCTCCTTTCTTATCACTTCTTGGTAGTCTGGAATCCCTAGTGAGATGCAATGCAGACTGGTAGGACTCTGCCAGACATTAAAAAGCAGTCAACAACTGTTCAACAACTTCAAATCACTTTCTGTCTGGGGCAGCCCCCCCGATAGCCTGTGAAAGCAAGAACATATTTGTTGCAGTCAGTCTTTTCTGCTGCTTTTCTTATCCTTTCGTACCCTGCAACTTCACACTGTAACTTGCCATTTCTGCCAGCCAAATATTTTATGCAAACATATTGGCCTCTGGAAAACCAGAAAATGATGGCTCTTACAGAGGTGAACCTTCTTCAAGTGTTATGTGAAGGGTGGAGAAAATGCTGTCTGAAGTTTGCCATGGCAGAAGTCACCTCCCTTCTCTCCCAGCTTCACCAGCTGACTTATTTCAGATGTGCTCCAGAGCACTAGGGAGCATTTGGACAATGCAGACAATTTGGAGTAGGGCATGAACATGAACAGAGTCCTTTATTATTGTAAGAAAATAAATATACGCTTTCTGTCTCTAAAGAATGAGTCAGAAAACTCATTCTTCCTGGAATTGCATGCCTGCTTTTTCTCTTCCATACATATTTTCCACCTGTCCATCCCTTCATTTTCTAGCAACACAGAGAAACAAATTGAACAGGAGCAGTCCTTATTCAGACTTCTGTAGGATCACTCACTGAACCTAAAAGTTTGCATTCAAGCCACTGATGCCAACACTTTACCAGTCAGAGCTGAAAACAATCAGTTTCCACAGACTTTAGGGAGAGCCTAACAGAGGCAGTAGTAGGTAGCCTGGAAGAAGGCAGAGGTTGTAGTAACTACTTCTTCTGCTTCCACTGTTTCCCTCTGCTTTAGCCACCTTTGAATTTGGTCACAGACTGTTTTGCTGTACATTGCACTAATTTCTCACATACTTAGGTATTTAACCTCAGAAGTGTCTCATAAGCAAAAACGGTTATCTCATTAATAGGAAACAGAAATGTATTTTGAAGATTCCAAATCAAGTTAGCAGAGGTATTAAATCAGTCCTCAGAGAGCTGGCTCAGCTCTTCAGTCTCTGTGCAGCCCTGCCCCAAGAACTATGCTGGGGTAACCAGCACAGCTGCTCCTGGTGAACGGGGCACATCCTGGTTTGTAAGTCCACATTCTTCCTCCTCCAAGAGCTACTCTATGCCCTTGCTTACTTAGTGCTCTGCACAGTAATGCACTCCCTGATTGCAGGTCTGGATTCTCACAGTGCATTATCATTTGCCCTTTGCATTTTTCAGTTCACTGGGGGAATCA